ATGCATTCCTCTTCACAAGATGATGAAATGGCTCTGTAGGAATGCTCTCAGGATTTCAGATGTGAGGTGTGTGAGGGAGCTGGTAAACTCCTCATACCAAAGGGAACAAGACTCTCAGACTCTGAAAATGGCCTAAAAATTGGCTCATTCTGAACTTTAATTTTACTCTTGGCAAAAGTACAAATTAAAAAAAAATTGTCTTAGAAATGGAAAAAATGAGAACCACAGTGTGGATTCTTAAGGTATTTTCAGGACAACTGTCATTTCAAATCAAAGTTTCAGGTTAGGCTTTAAGGGAGAGGYGTCAGGTAATTAGTTTTTCAGCATCTTGACACATAAGGTCAAATACCAGAAGGGCTACTTTTTACACCATCACATGAAATGCGTTTTGTTCCTTTGGGGGTGTTTCCTGAATATATTTAGTATAGATCTTTAATATGACTCTCTTGGTAAAAAGACATTTGACTCTGAATTCTGGCCTAGAGATAAAGGTGTAGGATTGAAATCTTTTGTCTCATTCTCACCCCACACTCTCCATCCTCAAAGGAAACTCTTCTCAGCCAAACTTACCAGTAGCTATTCTAGGATACCCTATTAAAGTGTAATTTTACTTAAAATTATCTTAGCTATAATATCTGATTAAATMTTAACAATATTATTCAAGTAATATTAATATTAAAATTATTAATTAATTTWAAAAAAAAGAAAATATTTTTTTATATTGATACAGGCTGAGAGACCCAAGGGAAAGTCTTGAGATAGGGTAGTCAGTAAAGTGTTGCCTGAGGATGTGACATTTAAGCAGATAATTTTTCCTTTCTCCTTTGTTAGATATTTATTGAACACTCCACGTATGTGAATCACTATCTTGGCTACTGTGGTTTACAGAATAAAACAAAATCCCAATTTCTAAGAACTTACAATTTATCATCTAGTTGAAATAATGTAAGAGTAAATACTGTAAGTGAAATGTGAATGATGTAAGAGGTCAGAAGAAAGAACTTTTTCTTTAAATCTTAGTTATTACAGAGGAATACTAGAGTAAGACAGGACTTAGAGAATAATGTGTGGATGGGTAGATGTGGGATCTATGTGGATGAAAATGCACAGGGGGATAGAAGAGTATACCATGAGTAAAAACACAGTACCAGAAACATAAAGGGTGCTTAGAGAACAATAATATGGCTTGGGGGGCTGGGGTTGTAGCCCAGTGGTAGAGCATTTGCCTTGCAAGTGTGAGGCACTGGGTTTGATCCTCAGCACCACATAAAAATCAATGAATAAAATAAAGATATTGTGTCTATCTACAACTAACTAACTAACTAAATAAATTAAAAAATATGGTTTGGGTTGGACAAGAAAGTGTACTACAGAAACTTAGCCCCTAAATACACCCAACAGTTCAAAACATCTCTTGAAAGAAAGAAATTGATTTGAATTTGACTTCTGTCTTAAAAATGTAGACAAACTTTGGATTTTATTGCATTATTTAATCTATCTTTTTAAAAAGTGGAAACAATATTTTCTACAACACCATATAAGACACAATTATGCCATATTTACCCTATGGCTTCTAGGGTCACTGTCAAGTAGTTAGTTGGATATTCACATATAATGTTGAAAAGGAAGAATAGAAGAACAGATAGACAATTCTAAAGAAGTAGAGAGGACCTATATATTATGGGATCTTGAAAAACAGGTCCACGTTTGAATTTTGTCATGTAGGAAATGAAAAACTAGTAAATATTCTTAAACAAGGCAATTAGCCTCATCTTTATCATATTTCCTCTACCTAGACTGCTTTCCTCTTTAAAGTCCTACACATCTTTTATGGCCCATTTTAAATATCAGGCCTTAACTAGGCCCTTTGTGACTTGTACTCAGGAATCTGGAGTCATTTGATTAGTATTTCCTTACTACTTACCACCTTTCACACTGCATTTCAGTTAAGTTTATGCTCACAGCTTATTATGTTTTGGATATGAGGTGTTCCCTGAAAGATCATGCATGAGAATGCAGGAATGTTTAAAGGTGAAATAATTATGAGAGCTATAACCTAATCAGTGGATTAATCCATTTGCTAATGGATTAATCCATTTCAAAGGACTGCTATACTGGGTGGTAACTGTAGGCAGGTAGGATGTGGCTGGGGGCAGTAGGTCCCTGGGTTGATGCCTTTGAAGTTTATATTTTGTCTCTGGTGCCTTAATTTCTCTCTCTGTTCCCTGGCTGCTCTGAGCTGAGCAAGGGCATTTCCTCTGCCATGCCCTTCTGCTATGATGTTCTGTCTCGCCTCAGGCCCAGGGCTATTGAAGTCCGCTGTCCATGGCCTGAACCTCTGAAACTGTGAGCAAAATAAACTCTTCTTCCTCTAAGTTGTTCTTGTCAGATATTTTGGTCACAGAGACGAAAAGCAGACTAACACATAGCTCTCAATCGGTAAGACCATTAACCGGAAATTTAACACAGGAGCAAGACGTGTTTATAGAATGAATGGACCTTGAGAGCCCCAGAACTAAATGAGTAATCTAGTAGCAGGATGAAGAATATACTAAAGGAGGGCGAACTGGAAGCAGTGAAACCGGTAGGAGGCTGTTGTAATTGTTCAACCATGAAGTACTGTGCACTGGCCTAGAAAGCTGTCTCTGGCAGTTTAAAAATTTTAAAAACGGAAGGAATAGCTATGTAACATATGTCAGAGGCAAAATGTAAGTATTTGATTTGACTGGGGAGAGAGCTACACACAGGAGGCTATAATGCTGGTTTATTTGGGAATCAGGATGGAGGGCTGTTGGGGAGGGAAGATGGCAAAGTTTGTTTTTTGATGTTTTTGTAATATTGTTTGCTGATGGAAGCATTGTATGGAACTGTGAACTGGCAAATGGATACTATTCAACACCTAGCAGAAGTTTTGAATGGAAATCAGCTTAAGAGCATTCGTACAGAAGTGAGACTAGAACCATGGTTGTACAGAGGATCTCTGATTAAGCCAGTTTGAACGGATAGAGAGGAGTGGAAGAAAGGCACTGAGGAATATCCATATTAAAGGGGCTAGATAAAGAAAGGACAGGGTAGCAGAGACTAAGGAATGGAAGATAAAGAGACAGGAAGAGAAGCAAGAAGTACTGAAAACAGAGGAGTTTCAAGGAGAGGGAGAAAGTTATCGCCATCCAAGGCCGAGAAGGTCACTGTAAGCACAATTAGGAGACCTCACAGTGGTGGGAAGAAAAGCACAATTGAAAAAGGTGAAGAGAGAATGATAGTGAAGACACCAATTTTAGGGTTTCCAATGTTCATTTGAGAAACGTGTGGCTCTAGAAGGAAGAAGAGGCTTAGCATGAGCTGGCAAACAGAGCTCAGACCCAGTAGAAACAAGGTGGTACTGATGGCCCACAATTTAATATCAACAATCTTTTCTTCCCAACTAGGAACCAGGYATTTCATTCTCTACCCATTCTAGTCTGTTCTGAAATTTGTTAGCAGTGCTCCAAGATGCTTACTTTCTTCTATTCAAAGTGTATCTGTCCTATATACCATTTCTTTGGAATGGTATTTTCCAAATGAGTTCCACTTTAAGATGGAGTATACTCCAAGAGAATAGATATGAAACCACCTAAGTATGGGAAATACCATAGAAAATGTGAATATGTTAAATGTCCTGAGATGCTTTGAGGAAAGAAACTTTATTGATTTTGCTTAAACTACCTAAGAGTATTCATAGATATATCCTACTTTATTATTATTATTACTATAAAACTTTCACTAGTTTCATTATACTTGTATGGGGAAACTGTGTTTTAGGGTTTTGGAAATGAATAATTAATCCAACAAAAGGATATGTTTGGCGTTAATGGTTATAAAAGAATAATTAATTCCCAGATGTTAAATATCCATAATTTACCAGAGAATTCAGTGAGAGAATCCAGAAGAAAGTCATTTGTTAGTCATTTTAATTTTGTTGTTGCTGTGACAAATACCAGAGAAAAACATCTCAAAGTAGGACAGATTYATTTATTTATTCATTTTTTTAGTTGTTTGGACACATGATCTTTATTTCATTTTTTTTTTATGTGGTGCTGAGGATCGAACCTAGTGCCTCACATGTGCTAGGTGAGCATGCTACCACTGAGGCACAACCCCAGCCCTAGGATAGATTTATTTTGACTTATGTTTTGAGAAGTTTCAGTCTATGTTGGCTGGTTCCATTGCTTTGGGCCTGAGATGAGGCAGATCATCACGGTGGAGGGAAGCTGTTCAGTTTATGAAAGCCAAGAAGGAGTTGGGGGAGAGAGAAAGAGAAAGAGAAAGAGAAAGAGAAAGAGAAAGAGAAGAGAAGAGAAGAGAAAGAGATAAAGAAGAGAAAGAGAAAGAGAAAGAGATAGAGAAGAGAAAGAGAAAGAGATAGAGAAGAGAAAGAGAAAGAGGGAGAAGGAGAGGGAGAGAGAGAAGGAGAGAGAGAGGGAGAAGGAGAGGAGAGGGAGAGGGACCAGGGATAAGATATAGTCCACAATGGCATGGTCCCACTAATCTATTTCCTCATTGCTTATAGTTTCCACTACCTACAAATAGTCCATTCAAATTATTAATCCACCAAATGAATTAACCCACAGCCTTCCTGACCCAGTCATTTTCTAAAAATCCCATCTCTGAATATTGCTGCATTGGGGACCAAGCCTTCAACACAGATGACTTTGGGGAACATTTCAGATCTAAACCATAACAAGGGGAAAGCTAAATGTTATAGATGAAAATTGATGATAAAATTTGGGTCAGTGTAACCATTTATGGACTTATTTTTATTCATTCACTTATTTTTGGTTCTGGGAGTTAAATTCAGGGCCTTTTTGTTGTGCGAGACAAGTGTTCTGCCACTGAGCTATATCACCAACCCCAACATAGTATTTTAGACTTCTCAAATCACACCACTCAAGTGGATAATGGCTACTCAACACCTGTATCAATTTCAGATTCACAGATAAATTCTATATCCTTTTTACTAGAGCTATTACTGTGTTTCGACCCCAAAACTTCAATCGATTTTTCATCCAGCCTGAAGAATGGAAAGGTGGAATACAGCACCAAGATGACATCCTGTGTGCTGCCTTTTTACCTCCACAAACTCTTGCTACAGGTAAACCGAACCTTCACAACTGGCTGCAGGCAGTTCGGTTTGTTTTGGTTCACTTTAACAAAAAAACTTTTCTCAAGTGCAAAATGAATAGATTTCCTGAAGAAGCTGCGCTTGCCTTTAAATCACCTTTCAGTCCTTATTTCTAGGGCAATATATTAATGGTGATAAGTGTCAGCTCCTATGGTGGGTTCTTCGGCTTCTTATCCTGGCTCTGCCACTTGCCACAGCAAGATACTGTGAGAGTTACTCAAACTTTATAGTTTCTTCTGGCTAATAATCATATATTTATACTATATTTTTAAACTACAAATGACTTGTGTCAGGGTTTATCATTGTGCTTGGCATGTAAGAAGCACATSGATGATTATTGCTTTAATTTTTATTGTCCATTTTCAAAGAGTAGCATTATAATGGTTGAGTACAAATCACACCTTGGTGGTACTCAGATGTTACACAACGGGAACATTTTAACCCCTTGATGTAATTCAGCTCACAAAATGTACAAATCTAAGCTCTTAATACCATCCCATTGGCATACTTTGATGATGTAATATATTAAAGGGTTTGAAAACTCTTATAAAAGCAATTATAGAAACAGATGATACATTGAAATTTTTATGTCTGTATTTTGACAGCTTAATTTTTTTTTTTTTTATGGAATCCAAAATGTCATCAGGTAAGAGGAATGAAAACATGCAGGAGAAGAGCTGAAGTATCACTCTATGAGGTTTACTGATTCACATTTAAGGTTCCATTAATATTTTTAGGACTTACCTGATTGTCCTCTGGTAGGGCTAACTCAATAGTTGAATCCACTTTATAGCTACTGAAAATCCTTACCTTAGGGGAGGATCACATCCTGAATTGTGATGGAGACTGTGAACTCGAAAGTTGTGTGGTTGTTATTGTAAAAAATGTGTCATAAAATACCATTGTATTGGTGGATAGATAATCATTCTCCTTCTATTAGTTCTATATGCAAATGTTTGGTCAAGCACTTCACAAACAGAAAGTTTAAACACCATGAAGAGAACATGGATATGCTGTGGATATCTGAAATTCATCTGTTTAGCCAATTTCTGAGTTATACAGGCTGCCCTTTCCAGAATAGTACAGAGATGTTTTTTTGTGGGGGGAGGGTAAATACCAGGAATTGAACTCATGGGCACTTGACTGCTGAGCCACATGCCCAGCCCTATTTTGTATTTTATTTAGAAACAGGGTTTTACTGAGTTGCTTAGAGCCTCACTTTTGCTGAGGGTGGCTTTGAACTCTAAATCCTCCTGCCTCAGCTTCCTGAGCCRCTGGGATTACAGGTATGTGCYACCATGACCGGCTTCCAGAACAGTACAGAATTTTGTGTGCATTTCTCTCGACTCTTCCCAGCTCTCAAGGAAGTCACCATCTGTAGGTTCCACTCAAACTCAACCCTCCACTTGCYATTGACACTTTGCCAAAGACTCTGTTAGTCCTCCTGGAGCCACTGAACGTGGTGATGTGGGCCTTGCTGCATTTTTCTCCACAGGATAGGCTTGGTCAACTTAGCCTCACTCTTGAGTTTTTCCTCTGTTCCCTGGGACAAGAAATAGTGAGTACTTTCAGCAGGGAGAACTTTAGGTTTTCAGAATGCAATGTTTAATGCAAGGAAATAACACATGTATGTGCGTGTGCACCAAGAGCATGGAGAATAGAAACCTAGGAGGTCTTTAATAATAAAAAGAGTAAAATGATAATTAACACTTTTCAGTTCTTACAGTGTGCTCAGCACCATTCTAAATACTTTTCATTCTTCACAACAACCTGGTAAGAGAAACACAATTATTAACCCAGTTTTGTAGATGAGGAAATTRTGGCATCAAGTAGAGTTAAATATCATGTGCAAAGTTACACAACTAATAAGTGGCAGAACTCGGACGGAAACTTAAATTGTTTAAGTGCAAAGCCTTTATTCTGAACATTTTATTACTCTAAAGTAAAAGAAAGTAAATGTCATTTTGTACACCTACTACATAGATTATTCTGTGAGGAATGTAAGTCTAAAGTTAGTAAAAAATATCAGTTATTTATATTCATGTCTCCAAAAATATAGAGAGAATGCCTGCTATGTGCCAGATTATATGTATGATGCATTGATGATGTATTTGAGTTACTATTGCATGTATTTTCTGTCTAAATTTTTGGCAACTTATATTCTTTATCATGGCTCATGTAGGGAGTTATGATGGAGAAATTGTTCTGTGGAACAATAGCACAGAAAATGCTCACTATGTACTTCACCCTGATTACCAGAGGTTGCTAAAATCAAAATCAGGTGAGTGCAAATTTGAAACTAAAATGTGACTGAGTCAGACCATGGTAGGGCTGGTTGTTTATGCCTGTATCTAATGCAGCTTACTGCTGAATTATAGATGATCAGCTATAAGCACAAAGGATTAGTGATAATGTTGTCTTGTCAAAGTGACTAAAAAAGAACCTTGAGATTTATTTGGCTTAGCAAATTCTCCACGGCACGTTGTTTCTTCTCTTTATGCTACATCAGCGTTTCTGCTTTACTGACAGCAGGGAGCAGGCCTCTCATTTTTATCTAGTTCAGTTTTTGCCAATAAACCTTGCCAAATTGCCTTTGAGTGAACCTTGGGTACCCCTTGGTAGGAAAATGGGAACTGTGTTCCCTTGATTGGCTGTTCAGGCTCAATCTGGAGCTTCTATTAAATATTATACCACCTGGAAATCTTAAATTATTCCTTGCTTTAGAAATCTGTGAGGAGCATTAGACAGAACTATGTTGTACTTTATGGGAATTTAGCAGAGCACATGAATATTTTAGACTTAAGCAAAATACCTTGACAATTGCCTTTCACATTTTATTTGAATTTCCTTAGATACTAAAGGTATTTCCTTAGACTAATTTATTCGGGCAATGAATATGTCATTCCTCATGGTCGGGCCAGGTTCTGTTGTCTCAATTGGATAAGCTCACAGAGAATGAATTCAACCTTAGGAAAGCACTGGTCGTCAGATGCAGTTGTTTGGAAAAAGCTGAGGAAGTGATTTATGGAGAGTAAGAAAACCAATTTAAGAGGTTGAGGATTACTTGGCTGCAGGCACACAGGCCTGACCTGTTCAAGTACAAAGAGCTTACTATAAGTGTTCATCTGAGCCTTCCATGGAAAGGGTGGGTATCTGCCTTTTTCTCTACCTTAAAGACAGCACTGACACCTATAGCAAACCAATTGCAGCTACCATTAAATATACAGAGAAATAAATACGATAGAAAAATAAATAACTCTGAATTTATAAAAGACACAAAGAACATATCTCTAGATTTCTTGCTTCGMAACTTTGAAGAGATCTCTGTAGATATTTTTCATGACTATGTGCACACTAGTCATAGATTTGCTGATGATTTTCCTCAGTTTTCTTTAGTGTCTCCTAGAGATGGTATTAGTGCACACTGGAAGTACCATTAAGGATGTCCTCTCTAAGGTAACTCACTGACAGCATTGCTAAAAATGCTCATTTAAATATGTAAAAATATCCATTAGACTTCATGTTCATTACAATATTTACAAGATTATTATTAATGATTAATAAGCTGGAAATGCCATATTATTAAAAACACATTTGTCTTGAGCATGTTAAAAATCTCTGAGATGTCAGCAGCAACTATAGTATGAAGTCCATATTAATTCCTGTCAAGGGAGAACATGGTGTATGTGGAATATGCAAGACAAAAATTAAATAATCCGTCAAGTTGAGGAAATGAATAGCAGGAGACTTGAAGGKTATTGACTGTATGTCTGTTATGAGACAGTGACTGACATGGACCTGTTGTTTCCATATGTACTAGTTTGAACAGCATATGTTTCTCTTCATTAAGACACCTGGCTTTGTCTTCACGACAGACACAGAGCCTCAAGACCTTCTCAGTGCTGAGAAGAGCCCCTCTTCCCACCACATGGCAGATCAGGCCACCCTGGCAGCCTACACCTTGGAGATTGACACCGAGGGTAACAATGCTGTTATGAGGCTTTGCTTCCTTGAAGCAAGGAAAACCAATGCAACCACAGGTAAAAGATGTGTTTATAGTTTGCCTGTGGTTGAGAAGGGAAGCGATAAAAATGTTCAATCTATTTCTATTTAGGTCTTGTAGCATTTGACTCCGTGTAGCTAACAAGTCATTCCTGAGTCATGGGAGGCCACAGGTCTTGCAAAGGAAATTAGGGTTGATGAGAATGGGTGCAGAAGTGGGAGTCAGACTAGAAGTGACGACTAATTTATCCAGTGCTGTGTGTAACAGGATCAGAGTGACGAAAATTCTGACAAACTATTTTTTATGGGCAATGATTGAAATTGGTGTCCCAGCCATGGGGAAGAGAGACCTTAGCSGGGGAGGAGACACAGCTAAAGACACATATCCCAAACATAAAAGAGTCAAAGTTTAGGTTCAAACATAGCAGAAGAGTAGAATGAGGAGAACATAATGATGAGCTTGGAGATTGGAGCAATAACAAATTCTGAAATAACTT